ACGCACGTGCGTGCATTTGAAACGAGTATATTTAAAAATACTATTGAATGAGTGATTTTTATTACTTTTTGGCTGAATGCTTTAATATATAGTATATTAAAATATATAAATAGTGTAGACAAGATGATATGGTCATAACGCACATGCATTCACATGCGCTTGGGTGCAATGCTAAAAATTGAATATAATTGGTATCCTTCTGGGAAAACGTTGTTAAAGTCAAAAATGCACAGAGTTTGTCTTATTTAATGAAGCTTACAGGGAATATGGCACCGAAAGGGAGTTGGGGAGCGTTTGGGGAACATCTGTAACGGTTCCCGTTACAATTAGCACTAGTTATTATTATTCTTATTATTTTTCTTCCTGGGAAAATTTTGTCCGCGAGTGATCTTGTAAACTACACATTCGACTTAGGTGAAACCTATTTAGGGTAAGTAGGCATGTTATGTAGATTTGCGGAATCAAGGTCATTTTGCGCGCACGTGCTTGCAAGAGCGCGCACGTGCTAAACTTGAAATGACCAATATATAATGGATATAACCGTAACTTTTCTATTTTTAAACAAAATGTTTTGAAACTCATAATGTTAGGATGTATGAGTAGTATACACAAGATGACATGGTCAAAATAGCAAGATCGCACGAGCAAGCACGTGCGCTTCGCTCTCATTGGCTGAAACTAAATTCTCAATATTTTTCTTGTTTTTTGATAAAATCATTTGAAATTTTGAACATAGTCATACATTAGGGAGATCTACAGCCCGTATAAAAAAAATATCAGGAAAGCATGTGCATGCACGTGTGCTTGCAAGAGCTCGCACGTGCAACACGAGAAATGTCCAATATAATTGATACAGACGTAACTATTTAAATTATTGATGATATGCTTTAAAACTCATATTAGAAGTATATATTAGAAGCATAGACAAGATGACATGGTCAAAAAAGCAAGATCTCACGCGCATGCACGTGCGCTTCGCTCTGATTGGCTGAAACTTAAGTCTCAATATCTTTCTTGTTTTTTGACGAAATCCTTTGAAATTTTAAACATAGGCATGTATTAAGATATCCTACAATAATATATATAGCAATTATCATGAAAACGCGTGCATGCACGTGCGCTTCAATCTGATTGGCTTATGCTTTAAATAGCTATAACTCCCTTGATTTTCAAACAAACAGGATGGGATTTGGAACATTGATAGATATAATAGACTTCTACAAGAATATATGGTCAACATGCGCATGGATACATGTGCATGTACGTACGCTGCAATCTGATTGGCTGAATCTTTGAACAGCTATAACTCCCTTGGTTTTCAACCAAACAGGGTGGGATTTAGAACATAGATAGATGTAATGGACTTCTACAAGAAAGTATGGTCACCATGCTCATGTGAGCACGTGCGTGCACGTGAATTGAGTAAAATAAAAAATACACTTGAATTAGCGTATTTTTAAATACTTTTGGATAAAATACTTTGATATTTAGTATATTAAAATCTATAGATTGTTAAGACAAGATTATATGGTCATTACGCACGTGCATTCACATGCGCACGCGTGCAATGCTAAAATTTGAATGAAATTGGTACACTTCTTGGTAAACGTTGCTAAAGTCTCAAATGCATAGTTTGTCTTATTTAATGAAGCTTATAGGGAATATGGCACCAAAAGGGAGTTGGGGAGCGTTTGGGGAACATCTGTAACGGTCCCCGTTACAATTAGCACTAGTTCTGATTGATATTGTTTTACTTTTCAACTCTAAAAAATCAACCAAAAAAAAAAATACTCTAACAAAAAAACTTATTAGACATAGAAACTGGTATTTTCAGATAAGCAAGCAAATTAAAAAAAAAGTTGTCTAACGCTTTTGTAGTCTTTGTGGATAGGATGTCAATAATGAATGTCCTATGATATGTCATTGAAAAGTAATAATCTTAGTTAAGATTATTGAAATCAGGTCAAACAAGATAGTCAAGATCAAGGGACAAAAATCATAGCATGCTTGGAAATGTCTTTAAAATAGGCTATTCTATCCCTTCTCAATCAAAAGTAATAAAGAAAAAGAACATTTTTGCGAAGTATGTAAACTTCAAGGTCAATCGGTCAAAAATTCATAGTATATTTAAAAAGGCCACAGGTAATACATATTCATAATTTCAATGCTCTCTCTTTCCTTATTCAAAAGTTATGAACAATTTAAAGCAATGATAATTTCTTTTTTAAAGGACAACATCAAGGTCAATATCGTGTGTCAAAAATACAAGTATGTTCAAAAAGGCCTTGTCACAGGTAATGCAATATGGAATATTTCTAACGTCTTTGTTCGAGTAAAATTACAAATAGTTAATGTACTTTTATTTATCCAACAATGTACTGCTTCATCGATAGGCGCGGTTAAAAAAAATCACGTGCAAGGCGTTCAAAATAGAGAAAAGAAGCGGGGCTTCTAGCACATCCATTGACGGAATCAGTACCATGTGCATGTAATAAAAATTTTTCTTATTTTTTGATTTCATGATGTGATCAATCGATTGGCTTGTGTAATAATTTCATGCATAAACGCCTTCATTTAAATAAGACAGTTATTCTTTAAATATAAATCCATATCTCTTCTCATTCCAAAGTTATGACCAAGGTGAACGTTTATGTTTTATTGTAACAGACGGACAGACTTACAGCCGCATGAGATTTGATATTCCTTGGCTTTCGAGAATGCAGTGAACAATGAAGACTTTCAACTTAGATTCGATGCCTATTTTAAGATTTTACTTGAGCATTCCGTACATCTTTACACTGAAACTGTTGTATATTTGTATGTAGATTTTAGCTGTTAATAGAAGGGTCTTAATGAATCCATATATTGGAAAAGCATACTTTCAATTGATCATGACAAGCTTTTGCACATAAAATTAAAAAGTATTTAGATATTTAAAAACTGCTGCGAACATTAAGAAAGCTTGTTAGTGAAATGATTATACATAAGTTTTTTTACGCGTTGGCTTACAGATGTAATTTAGAAATTAAATAGAAAAATCTATATATAGGTTCACAACACTTTTCTCAAACAAAAAAGAATGTTGAAAAAATATAAATAGGAATGAAGTCAATACCACAAGAATTTCACTTGACTACCACATAACGTGATAAGTGTAAATATAAAATTTAATTGTCCTTAACAAGTCGTTTTGATTGCATACAATTAATATTAATAAAAGCACAATCCTAAAGAGAAATATTAATATCTGTTAGAATTTATTTTCTATCTATTACCATAGCAGATAATTTTATTTTGCACCGTAACTGTATTTCGTACGAAAAGTCAGCCAAAGGAAATTCATTATTATGGCCTATGATGTAAATATATGTAGGACTCTAAAGTCCGATGGTGACGCCAAAGTCCGATGGTGACGCCAAAGTCCGATGGTGCGAGAAACAATCAACGTTTAAAACGTCATAGTACAACTGCGCCAAGCTTCAATGCCGCGGGGGTTCAATGTCTTAAATAAGTATAAATATAAATCATTTTTTTGCGAAAAAGATTTTTCTTATCTCTCAAATAGATGCGAGACTAACTCTAATAGTTCGAAAAGTGTTTCAACTATAAACAAGATATCTTGGGTGGGTGCGAGACCATCGCACTTTAGCGCAGCATGTCTCATAGGAACAGGCCATCGAACTTTGGTGTGACCGTCGGACTTACGCGTCCGTAAAGTCAGCAAGTCATCACAATTTGGCGTCACCATCGCACTTTGGAGTCTTGCATATAAAATAATGATGACATTAGTACAAAAATAAGAAAAAAATGGGTAAAAAAAAGTTGAAGTAATCTCGTCTGTCCTACAAAATAGTAGGTAGTTGCTGTCTATATTAAGTAAAATATCCAAATATGAATTAGATGTGTCAGATATGGCAATTTGATATTTTTAATTACAATTTCAGAGGGATACGTCGTATCGGCATGTAACTTTTATTAATTGTTAATAATTTAATTTCAGTGGTAACGCGTCATTTGATTGGTTAAACGTTTTTTTTCCGTTTCGTATAATATAACTTGCCTACGTCAAAATGAGTTACGTCAAAAACGTATCACTCCGCTTGATGTTACTTTTAAAATAATGCTCACCTTGAAGCCTTTTTCTGCAGGAAATATTGTCTCATTGTCTAAATTGAAATTAAATTATAAGAAATGAAGCTTATTTCAACTTATGTTATCAGATATAACAAAACTTTGGGCAGTTTACGCTTATTTATAAACCGCGAAAAACACGTTTATCGTATGTCAAATTGAATACCATAAACACGTATATCGTATGTCAAGTTGAATACCATAACACTTTTTTATAAGGTAGAAGTTAATGAATAAATTCTGCATCATAGGAATAAAAACAGGTCAACTTAAAAAAAAACATGAAGCACTACAGTCGAACTCCTGAAGACTCCTTGGAGGACATCATTTGTGATTTGAATCAGGGAATGTAACGCTAGCGGTTCTGCTAACTGTATATGGTATAAATAATTTAACTCAACTTCCTTCATAAATGTACCATTCGCAAAGAAAACATAAGATTATAAACATTAAACAATTAAATTTATTAAATGCATTATCAACAAACAATTTATTTCAAACGACGACATTCACACCACATTCATACCAAAATTAACAACAATAAATTAAGTTTTAATAAATTAAATTAGAAAAATCATAGCGTAAAACTGACTGAAAAACCACCCAAAAATCTATGTGTCTATTTCCCAATATCTAATAATGAAAACAAGCCGTAGTTATTAAACTTTTACTTGTAAAACTTAACACAAGCTTTACTGTATTTAGCCGGTTAGCTTGTAAAACTCCTAGCACTCTATTTTAACGGGACACAAGCCCTCGTTATTTATAACGCTGACTTGTTAAACCTAAAGCAAGCTTGACTGTATGAACAGATTCATCTTGTAAATACTACGGGCCAAATACGATAAGTCCAGTAATCTTTATTAAGGTGGGTCCTTACTCCTGGATTTTTGTGTTTTAGGTAGCATTTTTTGATTAGGAATCAACAGTATTATAGTAATGGTAATTAAAAATGGTAAAAAATTGAAAGGTTTACACACAAATTCCAAAGGAGACTCTACTGAAGTCATACACCCCAACAAAGATTTTTGTGCAAATCACTGGTAACAGTTCTTTGTTGTTATTGTCAAATAAAAACAACAATTTATTTCAAATTTGCACTAATTCATAAGAAAACATGTCAATAAGAAAAACACAAGTCATTTTTAAAATATTTATTAAGTTTTTAGAATAACATCTGCACATTTATGTAAAAAATGTTATTGTACAAATTTTAACAAAAATAGAAAAATCGGGCATAATTTCTCAATTACATGTTTTACATGTACTTTTTTTCTGTTTTGATATGTAGATGTACATCTATTTCAAACATTTATGACAAAAAATCCACACCTGTCCAGATAATTCAAAATCTATAGCTCATGGAGTACGTGTACCCCCATATAAAAAAATTAGAAATCTGGCACTACACAGATCAAATTTTCTTACAGCTAAATATTTGATGTAATATTATGAAAAACTAAGATAATAAGTCCTTATCAACTTGATTATTCATAGTCTTTTCAAATATTCACCTTGAAATAGCGAGAAAAGTGACTGCCGAATGCTGAGAACGACAGTTAGGTCACACAAATGTACATGAACTTCAGATACTTTCTTAAAAAAACTGCTAATGATAAACACTTAAAAAAAAGTGATTTTTCTTTTTACATTTCACAAGTAAATGTACCTGTCTAAAAAACATACATGCACCAGGCGAAATTTTATAGTGATCTATTCATGCAGTTCACACTTATCAAAAGAAATGTTGTCAACCGAATTCTATTACAACTGTGATGATAAAAGTTATATTTCATTGCATAAACACATTAATGCAATTATGACACACATGTAGATAATTAAATTCAAAGTGTTTTCATAAATTCAACAACTTTGTTAATAACATTCTTGGATTTTGAAATCCGTGGAGTTTTAGAACTAGACATTGGTTCACTGAACACATTGTGTATCCCATTCTGTGGGTCTCTTTTATGAGTAAGTTTCAACTTGTTCAAACTCAAAGAACAATTGACGAGTCTCTTAGATATAAGAGCAGAAATAACCTTTTTTTGTACAAGAGGCTCAAGTGAAGCTTTGACACTGTAATAGGACAAAGTGAATACATCTGAAGAATTACAATGTTTTGACAACTTCTCTTCATAGAGTTTTCTTAAACTTGTCACATCAGATAAAGCATTGTGAGCTTCATAATCTACACCTAGTAAACACTTCACTAGTGTTTCTTGTTTATAGTTACAAACTGTGGCCTTATCAATCACTTTTTTGGACAATCTATATGTATCAATAAAACCAGACACACTGTCTTGAAAAACATGCATCAAATTGCATTTCTGTAAATGAAACATCAATACAGGAATATCAAAGTTTTGGATGTTATGCCCAATCACAAAAGGCTTGGACAGTGACCTGACAAAATTAACAAATTGTTCCAGTCCCCTTGCAGGTTCTACAGCATCCAAAGGCTGTCCATGATGCTTCAAAACACCACCCTCATATGTTAACCCTGTTGCTCTTGATGCATCCTCCGCAATTGCTCTGTTTGGAGTCATATACACATTGAAGGTTTGGTCAGCAGAAACTGCAGCTATCTGAAGTATATCTGATGTTCTCTCTGCAACAGAGAAATCAAATTATACACATACTTTTTCACACTCAAATTTCATTAATTTTAAATAAACTATAAATATCTGAAGTATTAATTTCCTATTCAAAATATGAGCACTTACGTAGTCCTGTTGTTTCTAGGTCAACATACAGCAAAGAACTGCTCTCTGGAGATACATTCAAAGGGTTTAAATCAATATCCTGCAGGTCAACATCCTCATTTTCCAAACCTATTTCAGAACTGTAGGTAGCACCTGTAATCACATAAGTCAAAATACAATTAAAGTATTATATAAGCATTCTAGGAATTGATTTTCATTAGAATACCACTACTTTAACATACCTTCCAGGACCGATTGTGAGGCATCCTTTGATAATCTTTGACCTTTGAGTTCCAAGCGTCTTCTTTTCACACTACGCTGACACTGCGACAAACGTTTTTTCTTCAGCTTGTTGGCCAGGCGGACTGTGTGTTTGATAGTAAAATGTCCCGGTGACAGTGTCAACTTCTTATTAAGCTATAAAAAAATTTTTTTTTTAATATTTGATAGCAATACTGAAAACCTAGCTTATAAAAGTATTTAATAAAATTAACGGTACATCTGAATGACATACGTAAACTACTACTTGACTTCAACATCATCATCATAGGAACAAAGATTCTTGTAATTTGACAGTTTACGAAAATATTTGAAATAAATAGAATATTAAAAAAAAAAAGTTAGTATATAATACTGTAGATCACTTATTTTTAGTGACAGCTAATTTTTGTGAGATAGTCTTTGACTATTGATAAGCGAGACAAAATTTTCATGAAACACACTGTCTCATATAATTTTACTAAAATAAAGTTCTCACAAATAAAAAGTGATTTACAGTTATTTGTTAGTAAATAATAAATTGTGAAAATGATGATGAAATATATTCTCAATGCAACTCCAACGGAAAGAGAACAAAATTCCCAACATGTTTCTACCTCTGATACATAGCTATAGCCATCATTCTTTTGGCATACAGTTGCCGATATACGGGAATGCAGGCTTTCAGAGCCTCCAAAATACCTGTATTAGTTTTGAAATTCCATCAAAATATTATGGACTGGTATATGGAATGGTGAAAATTCATACATGTACAATACATTGATTATACTTACAGTCTTTTTGGTGCTTTACTAGACACCATCTGATTGAAGCTTTCATTCAGCTGCGTAGATCCTAAAGCAGACAATTCACTAGCTTTGTTGGCATACTTCTCGAAAAGGTCCTCTAGTGCTTTACGAAGAATAGGACATGACAATGGTTTTCCATATGGTAGGTTTCTAGGTTTATAGTTACTTTTCTCACTTTTACACCAAGAACCACAGCCATGATGCTCTCCTACAATTATGCATAATGTTAAAAATGCCCTTTACACTGTACCCTACTTTCAGGGTTCTTTTTTGTAATTAGACTGATCCACCATTTGACACACTCTAAAATTTCAAATTGAGTAAGCTCACTTACTGCATTTACACCCTTACCATATAAATGTGAAACAATGTTTCTGAAATCAGCCTTGAGTTGTTGTTCTCTGTTTTGATTCTGATGGATGCAGTACATAAAACATCGCTCTATATGTCCTCTGACCTTGACATTTCTCAACACCTTGTGCTGGTTACTCAGTTCAATCAAGCTGCCAGTAAATCCCTTTTTTGTATGGTTGCTGTCTGATTTCTTGGAGATGTTTGGATTCACTGATGCCTTCACTCTTGAAAGAGTCGTGGAATCATTATCCATAATTAAAGTTGTCACCTGAAGTATGAAGAAAATGCATTTGAACCTAGTAGACAATACATGGTGATGAGAAGCTTTCATACAAATACCAACTGACCCTCTGATGATATTGTTCATTAAAACAAGTGATTTGACTGAATTTGAATATGGACTGAACATTACAATTAGGCTTCTCATAGGATGGCAAAATTAAGTACACTAATACCTTTACTCCTTCATCTTCAACATTCTTTAGCATCTGGCAGGCCATTGCAGGTTCCATCGCTTTAGCAGAACCTGTCCAGTTTACCCTGCATTTGTGTTTTCTTGGTGGAACTCCTTTGACTTTGGCTGCTGCACAAATTCTGCATTTCTTGGCCATTACCGAGTACCCAATAAGTTTCTTTGTTTTCTCCCCAAATAATGAGGCATGGCCTAATTTGATATAAAATTAAATAAATTAAATTAAATCTATATTGATATTGATACTTTCATGTAAATATATGGTGCTAATGCATTGCAGTGACAGCCTGTTACATATATCATGAAACTTATAATATGTAGTAAAATTTTTGAATTTACCTGTTCAAATTTTTTAATAGTAAATATATACCTGTGAGGCTATTATATGCTCGTCCTGTGCCCCGCTTCTGCCATGCTCCATCAAAACTGGCTGACAGGTTCCCTTCACTCCTAAATTGAATCCATAACCAACATGTTATCATGTATGAGGTATTTGTGAAAATTAAAAAATTAAGACTACATAATTGAAAACAAATATTTTTTTTAAAATTTAGTTTTCTTTTTCAACAATATGAATTACATAACATGATGAGAATAATTTTCCCTTTTACGATTCGTGGTAAATAGCCCCTTCACGATAACTCAATACTTCTGAGTTCTCTTTTGCAGGGCAAATTAATAACGTTTGGCGAAGTTTTTGTTGATAGATAATTAAATGACGTATATTATACAATTGCTTTTACATCATATTTCACCAAACTATATCATTTTGCCCCGCAAAAGAGTAGCACTGCAGTTATCTTGAAACGGTCTATTTTATACAAAATAGCTCATTTATCAGATTCCTTTTTACATCAAACTTTAAACAAAGAAATATAATATAAACAAATAAAATACATTTCAATTTCTCTGCGAAGATGCTGTCGACAACTTTCTTCGGCCATTAAATCCAGCTGGTTCCCAACTTCTCTTTCCCGCTCCTTCAAACTCTTCTGGGTAATTGTAGGGATGTTCAGGGAAGCCAATAATCCATTCACTTGCGTTTCGCCAAGTCCTTCATTAATCATTGCTAAAAAATGTATTAAATTTGCATATAAATAGTTGATACATAGCAACAGTCCTCTACAGGGTTATAAATATTTATGTCAAAACTCAATACTCAAAAGAGAATCTGTAACTAAAATTACCTGCTGCTAATTTAGTATTAACATCCCATGCGTATCCACCACTTGTTGTTTTGTGTTTTCTGCCAGTTGGTACTTCGTTTAAGAGACCACATTCCGGAAAATTGCATTTAACAATCAAAACGTGTGCTAGTCCGAATTTTCTCTCGCTCACACAATTGGATAAGTGAAGTGGTTGGCCGCATAGTTGACAGCTTTTTAACCCGTCTGCAATAATGCCCAAATCCACAACCCGCCTGCCCATGCGCCACTGGTCTTTCTTCTCTTCGTCTTCTTGCGACAACACAACTTCTTTTGCGATCTGGCAAGTATCGTCACCACCATTATCACCATCAAAATAATTGTGATCTATTCCAACTAGAGCTTCTTCAGGTGTCTCACTTATATTCACTGTACCGCTCTTACGTGCCTTGCTTTTCTCTCTTCCTCTGGCCAATCCTTCTCTTTGTTTCTGTCGAGATTCTTTAATAAATCTTCCCTTGTCGTCTCTCGGCATGATTTTTGCGCGCAATTTATTTAACCGGATATGATATTAGATATGAAAAATTAAAACCCAAAACGGTCGCGATTACGAATCCGGCCATTGTGACGTAATACATATTCTAACTCGATTCTTGTGACGTATTTCAAGGGTGGACCTACGTTAATTAAGTTAAAAGTAGAGTGAAATTAAATTCCAAAGTCTTAAATGAAAATTCTAAAGAAAAATTCTACAGAAAAATTTTCGTATCTGGAAAAATTAATTTACTGATTCTAAACAAAATAAAATTGACTTTTGTTGAATTAATCAAGCTTAGTCATCATAAAAGAGAGAGATAGCAAACGTATAACTTTTGTTACGTAGTTTGTCTTAAAATAGAAATTAAATAAATGTAGAGTAAAATTGTAAAATTAAATAATCCTAGAAAAATTAATTACTGAAGAGAACTACTTAGTCATGGACTGTTGAGGTCTTAAACTACCGATCAAGGACAATAGCATTTTTACTATTTAATGTCCTTCACGGTTAAATCCTATCCTAACTAAATAAATGAAAAATAAAATAAATTCCTAAATAAAATAAAGGATAAACAAAAATAAAAATTAAAATAAAATCCTAACAAAAATCTAAGAGCTCCGTAAAACGGACCTACCAAATCAAAATAAGCAGAATAGTGACTAGAATTTCTCAGCGTCTAAGTTTCATACGACTCAGGGACAGAAAATGACGGAAAAAGACGGAAAATGCTGGAAAAAGACGGAATTATTAATTATGAAATTTCATTGGATTAATAACTAATGATCAATTATTTCACGTGAACAAGTGTTACCAAACATTCAATACAAAACTTAAATTCATTCTTTCTCACATATAATCAATTAAAACAAAATATATTTCACAACAAATAATTTAAACAAAACATATTCAACTCAAAACAATATTTAGTTCATCTCAAAACACATTCATTCGAAAGAAAGCGCCATTGATACTCAATGATTTTATCGACTATACAACCAATAGGAGAACAAATTATCGAATAGATTAACAAGTTTCTTAACCGGAAGTACATCGTACAGAAGAGTTCCAAAAACTGTCAAAATGTGCCAAAAGAAGTTTAAACTGTTAACAGGTATCAAATTAATTAAGTAATACTAAACAAACAACAATCACATACTTTTACGCACAGTAATAGGTTGCAATATATACGTAAGTAATATTTTACAAATGGCTCACTTTACAAATCTTGACCAAACTCTATTTCAGTTCGAATTATTTCTGTCGTGTTTACATTACCGACATACTCTGATACTACAATTAACTCTTGATTCCAAGTATTTAGAGATACAATTACATAATTTAAGTACAACTTTGCGAACAGCACATTCATTGTGAAACAAAATAAAACTTCTTTAATAAACAAACTTCATTAACCTGTTCCAAATCACAGTAAAGCATGAAAACATATTACAAACATTGACTCTATTTGATAGAAAAATCAAACCGCTCTACGCTCACACAATTACAGTAAAATATTACAGTAATTGAATCAGAATGAATAATTGTGGATTAAATAATAAATGTCGTATATCCTAACTACATTACATAAAATTAAAAGGGGGGGGGGGGCACATACACTACAGGGAAGTTTTGAACAAAGAAACTTTTTTCATAACCAAATATACGTGTAATGACAAAAATGTACTAAAAACTAAAATATACATCACTCTGCGTGAAGGTAGTACAGACACTACCTAACACAAAGAAGATTCAAATGAAAAAATAGTGTAGTAGAAATTCGCCAATTTATTTTCCTCCTGCATAAAAGACCCGATTTCAACATTCCGCCCGAGAATAAAAAAAAAACATTGCATAGAACGTCCCCCTTTGAAGAAGTAGAAGCAGTATTTACATTTAATTGTAAAACGTAAAACTCTTTCTCTATTTGAAAACTATTTTTTCTGACCCCTCTTCAGTGATTGTACGTAGAGCAAACTTGTCAATATTAATAAAGTGAAGAACCGCCCTGTGTCTGCTTAAGAGTAACTGAGTAAGAAAGTGATCCTTTCGTCGCAGGTTCGAGCCCCTCTGTTGGACGTTGAGATGTATTAGACCGTACAATACGAGTTGCCGTGTTACAGTAAGTTGCTGGCACGATCAATCTCTAGCTGCTCAAGGGCCGAAAATAAAAGCAATGTGTTGGGAATTTCTCCCCATCCATCTGTCGTAAATGAAATTCAAGCGCTGGAAATAGGCGGAGGAAATATATCGCTGGGTACCTCAAAAAAGTGATATTCAAATACTTACGGACTTAATTTGACGTTCAATAAAGCATTATTATGCAAGAAAGCCTGGGATTTTCAAAGCAAATGTGTACTGAAATTTTGTTTACTTCAGTGTTTCATATTTAAGTGGATTCTTTTAGAGGTCTAAGGCCTTTAATTCATATTATGGCTATCTTGGTACGTATTAATTTCGAAATGATTTCGAATCAATCAGCAAATAAATAATTATTATTCATGGTTTTAATTAATTATTTTTTTTAATTCAGTGTCTGTTGAAAATAACCCTTATGTAAATCATTACGTACAACATTATTTAATTATACAAAATTCAATTAAGTTGATTTAAGTCTACCCTGAATTTCTAGTCATCGGTACTCTAATGTTAAAAAGATAATTTTGGCCAAGAAAGCGAATAATAACGCTAAAAAGTACATAAAAATATATGATTAAAATATGACCCATTTATTTTTATTTCTTTTAAGGTTAACGTTTACAATGAGTTGAATTTACTCATCCTCAACATTTATATGGTACATTTTAAAATATTCTATATATAAGAGACATGTGTTTCGAACTGTGACAAAGGCTCATCAAATGTCACGCGAGATGTATAAATAAAGTAGCCATGAGTTGTAATTTTCAGTCACTGGCTATATACATTGTATTGTATTGTGTCCCTATTGGGAGGATTTAAAAGGACATATATCATTTATGTGGTGCTTGGCAAAGGAAACAGACATATTATTAGTAAGTTACATATTAAGTAATATATGCACCTAAATGACTGTATATGTTTTAAAACGAACAACCGTTAAAGGGTTAAGATACAGTTCTTCTCAAAAAATCCTCGCACCCGCATAAAAGTTGGTTTCAACAGTATCTGTAATTAATTTACCTGTATGTTCCTTTTATGATTCTGATATTGAATCTATTGATCTTTTTTTTTAGGTTTCTGTGAAAAATATACTATACAAAATAGTTATTTGTTCTATAATAAAACAAGATGATTACTAAGGTAAATCTAAGTTTTTCCTACCCATAACCAAAGTATTTTAGTATGGATTTCAGCTTTTTAAATTTAATGCTGCACAAGCCGTACACGCAATTGTATTGTCCGTTTTAATATATATCAGAAGTTAAAGTCACGGGTCTTTCGGATATGACCTTAAAAAGTAGGTCCCGTGTCACGGTAGGCGCTGGCACGATAAAGAACCCTCACTGCTCAATGGCCATGTTAGAAAAACAAATTATTTGTTAAGTGTAACTTAACGTGTAACAGACATGTTTATACCAAAAACAACTCATAGAAGTTATATCTATTAAAAAACAATGCTATATATTTTTTTAATCACTATAACCTGCATTTGATAAAAACTTTTTGGCTTTAAAACCTCATTAAAAACAACGATTAACTGGTGTAAAACAGTGAATAAAAAATAAAATATACGTTGTTAACGTTATTTATTTTACTTATATAAACATGACTAAAGTTGTTTTTTTTTCAAGATTTTTTAAAGTTTTGATTTAACAGCTATCCTTAATATTTGCGAATTGTATTATCACAGTGACCTAATTTGTTATTCCCGAGATTTGTTTTTCTAAATGTTTGATTTAATCATCTGTCCTAGGGTTTTGTTAAATGAACTGAATTAAAAAAATAAAGAATTTAAGTTTCCCTGTTGCATGACTTGCGTGCGTAAAGTAGCAATAATCATTTTGACCACTTGCATCTATATTTTAATGAAAGGAAAGGATTTAAAAGATTGAAACTTATAGCAGAAAAAATAGGCATTTGATGTCTTTAATCTGAATGATAGTGTCAAATTTGAATAAATTTAGATCTTCACATGACCTGCATTTGCTTTAACCCGGACTATAAACATTCTTTCACAGATACTTTTTATTCTTTCAAATAATACGACACATTTGATTTTACGTTTTAGCTACTTTAGATATATCATATTCCACTTCATCTTCTACCGGCATCGTCAAAATTTGATAACATCTCAAAGCGTTTACCTCCCTCATTTCATTAGCTATTAAATTATGAGCCTTTTTCTTTACCTTTAATTAAGGTCATAGGCAACGTAGCTTGGACTTTACTGAGTTCTTCCCTGGAGTTGAATAGTTCCACTAAATAAAGGAACTGCTTGGAATACTTTAAATGTCTATGTTTGGATTTATACACTTCTTTTAAAAAGAAATTTGATGACAAAAAAATCAGAAAATTTTGTTTTGTAAGTTTTATACATTTTTCTTTGAATAATGCAAAACAGTTTTATAATTGGATATCTTTTCAAAAGCCCTGGTAACGCATGCTGATTTTTGGGAGTTGAACTTTGTTCAATCTCCCATGGTCATCACGTATTTAACATGCGCAGTAATTTGTGTTGATTATATAGAGCCGAAAGCGAGGCTACTGTGTCGGCTGATTTACTCCGATGATATTCAAAAGAAAACATGCATAAACATCCGCCACAAATAGTTCATTTCATTTTCTCCTGAATTGATCTAATTTTCATAATTTGAAATGAACGTAAATGTAATTATGATAAAGTAATCTTATTTTGAATGTTAGATTTCTTTCAAAGTGAAACTAAATTATAAATAACCTCAAAAGATTTTCGTAATGGAACTCATTTTTTAGTGGCGTCATACACTGAAAAAGATACGATCGACAACTCTACATACTCTCATCTCAATACATACTCTACATACTAACGACAAGCGCTAAATCTAGTCGTTCCGACGCCTGACGGTCCCGGATTTTTAGCAATTTCTTTTTTACCGGTGCACAGAATTTATTCAAACTTTTCATGAACATTTTCTTGGTTTAAATGAATTCATTAATGCAGAA